CAGTTATCAGCACGCTCGACTTTCTATAAACCGATAGCGATTACTATGCGACTTGACAGAACGCTTCCTTCCTGAAGCTCGACATCATAGCCTCCTAAATCCCCGTATCAATACGGACGAATCCAAATGTGAGAGGATAGCAAGTCTCTGGACTTGCAGGCACATACGGTGCATCCCGATCACCGAAATCGCGCCCATTTCCCACCATTGTCGGATACGTTTTCCAAAGAGCCGCCACCGCTCGCGCTATTGTAGTCTTGACGACAATGGACTGATGAGCCGGTATTGTCGAATTCGTCGAACTCTGTTTGCACCGGATAGGAACGACGCGACGAAAAAGAGAAAGAAAAAGGGAGGGGGAGAGAGAGAGAGAGAGAGAGAGAGAGAGAGAGAGAGAGAGAGGGAGAAAAAGAGAGATCACAGTTCGTGAAGCGACGCATTTATCCAAAAATCGAGAATCGTTCTGTTTTTTCGACGATGGATCGACTCGAGTATTCTCATACGTTTGTCCGAACAAACTCGCCTCGTCTCGTCTCGACGAACAGCCACAGGCGTTCTGTAATCCCAAAGGATTAACTCGAGACCGAACAAGTATTTTCTTGACGGGAGGAGAATCGAGATTTTCTTGACTCGCGACTCCGAATGTCGTGAACGACGGACGACGTGGGAAACGCATGAGATACCTTCGCAATTTTCTTCCAAGAACGCGGTGCGAAGGATTTCTACCAATAAAGCGGAAAGAGAGGGAGAGAGAGTGTATATACTCCGCGAGAAAGCAATTATATACCAGCGCGCAATGACTTTTACTAGGAAACGCGCGAACCATTGTAGCGGCTCGTGACAACATCTGGAGAAAAACAAGAAACTCGTAATTACGTACTGCAACTCCTGGCGTTCTCTTAGAGAAGTACGTAGAAACGAGAACAGACGATTTCAAGTTATGTCGAAGCGCAGTAGTAGTAATTCACGTTCGCTTTCCTTCGAAAAATTATTTCAACTTGTACATATTACGTTATATTAGGTGCGCAACTAAGTTCTCGCTGTTATTTTGATGTTATTTTCATCAAAATAACAGCGAGAACTTAGTTGCGCACCTAATACTTAATGTTATCGCAGAATTCTCTTTGCTAAAGCGTGCGAATTAGAAAGTTGACGCTGCGTCGAACATTCGTTTAAAATGCTTGCGAGACTACTTGAACTACCGCGCAGCATCATTCGGAATTCATTCGTGGAAACGTCTTATTTCCTTCGAGACGGATCGAAGGGTCGCCACGGAGCGAAACGCTTCTCCCCGTGGAATGAATTTTACATATTCCGGATTTTCCGAGCGATTACCTTGCACGGACGATGGAGAATTCCTTCTTTCTACGCGTAATTACCCGTGCCGTTGCCTGGCGCGACGCCACGTTAACGCGCGGCGCTCGTAATTTTACAGCGGAGAAATAACAAAGCCGCATATGCAAGAAGCGCTAATTTATCATATCACGCAGCCGTCTCTCTCTGAAGTGACAGGGGGAGTTATAAAATAAAAGGTTATACCAAAAGCAAATTACAAAAATGCATAATAACATTAATGCGCTTTGTGATAATGTCGCTTGTATAACAGTAACTTGGATCCACGCTATGTGTGTTGTGTACCTTTATAAATATTAAAAATATTGAATTTATAAAATATCTATATTATAAAATATTAAATTTAATAATATAGAAAATTGCAATTCTTTTCATCATTTTTTAAACGATGATGTACATGGTATTCGCAATACTGTTTTCATCAAACTGGTTAATATAAAAGTTACGGTAATTTATTCATTGCTTCAAAATTGTTCTGTAATCTAGTTGTTTGTCAGCAATCTACATCTTGTTTTTGGTATTTATAACTATAATTACATGTTATGTATCATAATTATGTCTATTGCTGCTATAATAAGAAAATAAAGCTAACAAAATGAGAGTCAAACATACGGTCAATGATGTGTAAGTAACAAAATATATATCTTATTAAATTACATTTACTCAGACATTTTCACTCCTTTCTAGAACATCCTCAGTGAAAATTATCGATATTGAATTTTAAAGACTTTGTAGATTCAAAAGAATTTATTTTCTATGAATAGAAAAGCCCGTTTTATTTTCTTGCTGTTCTTTGAATTATCGAGAGTCCTCAAATTTATTATTACTGCTATAGTAATAATAATATGTGTATATAGTTCTATCAACAAATACATAAGGAAGACTTGACCGTATGGGAGAGTTAAACCACTTTAAATATATATCTCATTCAAATTTCAGGCCAAGCAATTGTCAAACCGCGACGTATGGATCATGCCATTTTGATTTTACATTTCTCGAAACATGGCAAATAGTTTCCAATTGATAATCGTGCACGTGGCACGAAAATTTGAACGAGAAATTTGAAGTAGTTCAAATCTCCCAAATTCCGCCTATATATACTTGACACGAAAATGACTGTAAATTATAGTTATTATATAATTGTATTATCACAAAAATTATAATTATTACAATTTAACTATAATTTACAGTTGTTTTTGGATCATATAAAATATGGATAGCTCAAGAGCGACTATAAATTTATAATTAAATTATAATAATTGCAACCATTTTTATGGTAATAATAACTCGTGTTACAAACATTTTTCTTTCAGTATACAACCGACTGAACTAAATGTTTGAAATGCATAATCACAAGTTTCATAACGACTGTAAACATTATAATGACCAGAGAAGTAGACGATGCGGAATTTGTGAAAGCTTACGGACGTAGAAAATTGCAATCGTTGGGTCATAATGGAGTTGTTCCGAGCTTTGATCAAACGATTCCGTTAGTTGTCTCGTCAAGAGCAAACCGCCATGAGACTAGGGTCGATGGTTAATGGGAGTCGTACAAAGGTTTGTCCGAAAACCGCAACATGTGGGAGTACGGGAATACGAGCGTATACGAGAACATTTTTCCGAGTACGCGTCGATGCGTTTCTCATTAATTAAATAAGCAAAAGGACGAACTTTTACAATATACATGTTTTCAGTAGATATGCGTAGCATAAAACAACGTGTAATTTATAATTTATTGTCATTTATAATTTATTGTAGAAGAACATTAAATGATAATTTACCTATACCGCAATATTTTAATAATTAATAACTTTTAGTAAGCGCGACATTTATAACAATTGTTTATGAATTTTACCACGATTATTAAATATTCACTGCTTTGTTTTTTAAATACCTATGGTTATCACATTGGGAAAACTTACTGCGTTACATTTATAATCCATTGTGTGTTTTCAATATTACCTCATTTGACCTCACATGAAAGAATTAACGGATATTGTTTTTAATTATAATCAAAAGTTAATTAACGCTTTGTTTTACACGAACTGCAATTATTCATCCAATGATTTTTTGCATACAAAAGAAAAGCTCTAAAAAATACTAGAGCTGAGGAAAAGTTCGTTTCACTACTGGTGATCGAAATTGCGTTCGGCTGAGCAGAGATTTACCTTTACTACTTACGCGCGCGCGCGGTGCTCATTTTTCACTCCAAATATTGTAAAAAAATTCTAGTTTATTTTCTTTATCACATAATACACTAACCATATTATTGTAATACTACATAATACCCTAACTATCATTATACAATAATATAAAACTAATTATACACATATAAGTATATTTATTATTTAATTTTCACTGAAAATCGATGTTATCAGTAATTATTCGACACAATTCTTTTTCTAATAATATTATTGTAATAAATTTTTTTTATAAATATATAGAAAGAACAGGTACTTTTTGCTGAAGTATCTACTAATTTAAGTAGATACAGAAAAATTGTTAGACTATCAAAATAATTATGTAAAACACTCAAGCTGGAGTGCTAGAATGTCAAAACTTTTTGCAGTATTGATCACTATTGCTTGAGTTTCTTAGTAATAATTATTTCATGGTCCAAAATTATTTTCAGATCTATCTTCATTTTTTTTTATTTTAAAATCATTCTTTCTATCTCTGAAGCAAATAATCAAGCAAATAGGTCATCAATATCGCTAAAAATTGGTAAATTGACATTCAAATGCATTCATCATGATAAAAAAAAAAATGATTATGGAAAATCTATATGATTGGAAATGCAGGTATGATAAATTCAAGCAGGAAGCCGCGAGAAAAGCAAATCGTGAGGGTAACTCGAAAGAAGATCGAAATGCTTTATAACATCGTAAACAAAGCCTCCTTCCCGATTTCACGATTTCTCCCAGGGCGCGTCAGACGAGCTTTTTACACTCCCATGGCATCGTAAATCTTCGCTCTCGCATTAACGGCAACGTGAAAGCACTGAGAAGAGCTCTCGCACGAGCGAACGCAGATATCTCGTATTCGCCCGTAGACGTTTCCACTGTTTATATCGCTTTACGCTTTTCTCTCATATCTAATAATTTTATACAATAATCCATTAATCCCTTTACTCCCAAAACACCTGCAACCGCCTGCAGCTTGGCAGCTGCGCTGTATTATCTTGAATTTTTTACCGCGGCATATTTAAAACGCGTTGCCATTAAAATAACACGCGAACAGAATAAAATAACATGATAAACGTGAATCAAATCGAAAGCTTCGATAATAAATATATTCGTCAAATCTTTATAATTTTACGATATAAATAATCATGATCTTTTATAATAAATTTAACAATATTATTTGATTCATTATTATAATATTTCAATATTATTTAATTGATTTATGTCGTGATTTAATCGATCGATTATAAACTTTTACCTAATTAGATTAGATTGAACGTCATTCTCCGAAAATTTATAACAAGTGTATTATATACATGTATGATTGCATGTTTTTAACACGATATTCATCAAACGAAGGCTATTTTATTGGACTATCCAATTTTAGAATTACCACATATATTCACGCGAGCCATCCACGTGTCGAAATATTCGCGTGAATATTTCAACGATTAATTAACTTACCTTCAGGGGTGGTCTCGTCGGATCTTTCCGCAGCTCCGCGAAACGTGCCTCGAAACTGTCGTCCCAGTATTCCCGACTCCGCATCCATGAGGGCTGTAAGAGAAGGTAAACAACTGTTAGAAATTTCGTGGCTCAACGTATATTGCTTCGTGGTTAATAAAACGAAAACGCCGCAAAGACGCGTAAATTTCACGAACGTCCGCACTCGCTGGCACACAGCAGAATGAGACAATGATGTGCTGTAACTTACGTATTTTGTTATACTTTCATACGGTGAAGTCAAAAGAGACTCGACAGTTGTTAGTAATTTCGCGAAAAAAGATTAATCGGTCTCATTCGTTTTTAATTTAATTGTATTTCGCGTTTATTGCTTGGATATTCGTTGCAAAATTGCCGTGTATACTTTTCGCGAAATTTAATAAACCTGTTAATTTCACGAGTGGGTACACAATTTTATGTTCTTTCAAAATTCAATCTGACTTTTATATCTTTGTGCAGGTTTCACTAACTTTGTTAATTTATACTTCGTGATAACGCTCTTTTCAAGTTACATAATAATTAAGTATATTTAGATCTATTTGCGGAATTCTCATTTTTTTTTTCCTTTCCGTGACTTCGCGTGCATTGCCTCTTTTTATTGCCTCGTGTTAATAACGGGTTTATCGTGGTAACAGTTTTGACGCGATACCTTGTCGATAAGGTAAACGCACGTAACGAAATCACGATGACGTTGACTTTACACGAAAGCTTTGCTTTCCATTGAGAGTCCCTCGCGTTGATCTTGCGACAAGCGTGGCTTTAGGTAACAAGGGCAACATGCCATGATTTTGTTTAATGTTTAAAAAGTGTATATATGTATAAGATGTATGTTATATAAGATGTTCTATAATAGAATCCTAAAGTTCTTTCAATCACAAATACAAAAAGATAAAATGAAAAAAATAGGGATTGTTTTAATTACGGTAATACGAAAATTTAAGGGATATCGTATTTTAGAAAAAAGTGGGTGCCTGATTTTGAAATATTATATAATATACCTACATCTTTTAGGCGTATCGAAAAAATATTACTCGTAAATTCATATCGTAAAAATAAGTTATTTAATTTTTAATGAAGCTGTGAAAATGTGACAATTAACCCCGTGTTCTAGATTGATTATCGTACGTTCTAGGATTAGCAGTGGCATATTTTTTAAAGACAACGTATATAAAAAATACAATTTTTATTTTAATATCAGTTCTGTATTTTGAGAAACAATAATAATTATGGTATTAATACAAATAAAATAGTTATTCTAATCATAAAAATCTGTAATTTGTTTTTGTACTGCACACAGTTTCAATATAAAAAATGGAAAAAATATATATATAAAATATAATATATTTGTAAGTATATTCATTAAAAATATGTTCTCTAAAGATATTAAAATTAATTGTCATCTAACCTCGTCTCATTTTGGTCAATCTATCCCACATAGCCATCTTTAATAAAAGATATTGTATTCACAAACTTTGTCAGGATAATGATTAATTAATTGTAGCAAAGAGCTTCTTCTAAAGCTGGGTTGTTTCACTTTTCGGTAAACTTCAGCTCACTATCTTACTCTCTTACTCTCTCTTATGCTCTTCTTCTTTTATTCTTTTGTTTATCGAATAAGTAAATTACTAACATAATTTATCTGAAAATGGAACCGCCCCTAAGATATCATTTTCTATGAATACAAGGATATTGTGATTAACAAAGCTAAAGACTTGTCAGATATCAAAACAGATAATATAAGAAAAATTTATTCGCCAACTTCATTTTCTTAAAAATGACTATAAATAATATATACAATGCTTGGTACAAATCATTTTACACAACAAATTAATATTATGTCAGCAATCTATAGTCAAAACAAGAGATTTTTCTGCTATGTCCTGTTTGAGTTATAAGCATTTTGACAATCAACCCCGACAACCAGCCTCGGTTTCTCCTAAAAGTTTCTCTGCAAAAAGTGACCGGAAATTTCTACTTTCCATGTATAAAATGAGTGTTATATACATATGGAACAGTAAGGTCATTTATATTTAACAATACAATTTTATAGTTTAAATAAAATTTTTCTTATTTCGTAATTATTTTTTAAATTTATTCAAATAATTTTGATCCAGTAATTTTAAATCATCGCCGAACTCTTTTATTGTGTTTTTTTCCAAATACTACATATAAATTTGTAATTAAGGCTCCTAAGTAATCACCACAGCCATATTGAATCGTCAGAAGCGAGAAATGACATGATAATTTTTATTACGTACCATTTATAAATAAAAGCAATTTGGATAAAACAAAATGATGATGAGATTGCTTTAAAACATTTGTAAAAATGGACGAAAATTATGCTTATTCCTCCTGACAATCAGTAAATAATCGCAAAAAGTGATAAGGCACACAAAGTGCTTTTATTCGATGCGCATGCGTAACTTATTTTCATTTATACGTGCCTTTATCATTTTTTACGATTATTTACTGACTATCAGAGGGGATAAGCACAATTTTCGACTTCTGACGTCACGATTCAATATGGTGTAGTGATTATTCAGAGGCCTTAATCTGTATATTGAAATCTATAAAATCTGTAACTCTTCACGATTTTTCCATTTTATAAAAAATACGTGTAATACGTCTTTAAAAGATGTTTATAAAGTTAAGTTTTGAAGAATTAAAATAAAGATTTTAATAATTACTTAAACCTCAATTGAAAAGAAATGAACTTTTAACGAACTTCAGACACACTTAGCGTTGGAAAATATAAGCTTGTAGTAATAAATGAAAATTGCTCAGTAAAAAAAGCACGTTGCGGAATTTGTACGGATTTAGTGACTTCTAGAACACACTGTAGAAACGGCAATGGTACTGAATATCTTCTGTGGCGCGAATGAGCTCGAGGATGGGAAGTAATGAAGTAGAGCGAAATTGGAATTCGCGAGGAATCTGATCCGGGCGGTTCTAAACATCGATTACGCAACGTCCAGATGCGCTATACTGCGCATCGGCATAGATACCGCAAAATTCGAAGATCCCCCGAAGTTTCGGCGCACCTCGTAACCGCAGAAAATCCCGAACGGCCCGGTAGTGGCACGAAGGATATAATATAATATCATTGGGCCATTAAATTTCGACGGTGCTACCTACTTCGTGCCTGCCAATCAAGATAACGTTTTAACAGCCGGAACGCTATTGCTGAAGTGACCGCAAACGCTCGAGTGAGCGCAATACCGTGGAGTCGGGTCCTACGCTGATAATTAATCACCCGTGCATCTCTCTCGATAGAGCGACTGTGATATGTGAAATACGAGACTCATAAATTGATGTTGTTGCGAACTGAATATCGCAAATTACGCTAAACGATGTGAAATTAAGGTAATTGATATAACTCGTGCTCCAGGCACAGAGATCTCACTGTAGATTATCCAATTTACATTGTAAAATATGCATTATCGTGAAATATGTATTTTTGTAAAACATAAGGGATAAAGCCGAACAGGAAATTTTTCTCGAAAGAAAAAAGCGGATAATTATTGTTAAATTAGTATTGAGTTGTTATTATATTTTTTAGCAATTAAAATATTGATTAAAATATTGAATTTTATACGGAAATTTTAAAGTATCTAAAAATTTAGCTGGATACACATCTGAAAATAATTTTGTTGGACGATCAAAATAATTATGTAGGATATGTTCAAGCTGATTGCTAAAATATCCAAGTTTTTTGCAGCATTGCTCATCATATTTGAGTTTCCTACATAAATATTTTGATAGTTGAACAAAATTATGTTTAAAATCGTATCCAGCTAAAGTTTTTAATACTTTCGTTTTTTCCGCGTAGTGATATCCTTTTATCTTCTAATTAAAAATTTATCCGGAAAAATTTATTTGAAAAATTTTTGAAGTTTTTAAACGATTTTAAAACAAGTTATTCGAAATATGTTGAAATTTATTATTATAACTTCTATAAATTATATGTAATTTACAGAAGTTATAGAATTATCACGAGTACCTATTAATGATGTTATAACATGTAATTGTGTGTTTATATATTATCTGGAAATACCAAATTCCCAATTATTACGAAAACAATGTATTAGGTGTTGGAATTAATTCGTAGCGTTTTTTAATGAAAGAATGTTATTTATTTCACATGAGCATTAAAAAATACATTAATGAAAGTACTTCCCATCACTTGTAAAACGCTACGAATTAATTCCAACACCTAATACAATATTTTTAATTTGTATTTTATCATTCGAAAAATAATCCATCCAAAAAAAACATGGCAATGGCACAATTATTGCATATTAAAACAAAGTGAGAGCGGTCATCCGAGGGTTCCCATTTTAATTTCTATTAACAGTAAGCCAAGCAAATTAATCACCATAAATCCGGGATCGATGGCGGAGATAAAGCTGAATCAAAATTAAATCCCAAGTTAAGAGCTCGTCTATCGAGCCCAACAGACTCACCATCGAGATATATCCCCCGGAAAGGTCTTCTTCCACGAGGCTCTCCGATTATCTGGCGATCGGTCGAGCTTTCTTGTAACGGAGCTTATCCCGTCGACGTTAATTAAACATCGAAAAGCTTCGCTCCCTAATCCATCGACCGAGGTAGCTTCTTTCACTCGAGATTATTTAGCCGAGAAAAAGAGGAGATATTTTCGGATCTCTTCTACAGATTCGATCTCCCTTCGTCTACTTCTTCCTACTTCAGATCAGATCGGGCACTTTCTTCTTTATATTTATCAACGGTCAAAAATTGTTTAACGCAAATTAAGTTCTTTATTAAAAAATAATTCGCTATATAATTGAATAATATTTTTCTATATAAATCAATATTTATCGCGAGCTCAACAAATACCAAATTTGTAACTGTGTGGGAAATTTTTTTAAAAAATTACTAAAAAGAATTAATAAAAAGACAATTCTTCGCACGCAAACGATTGAAGTTAAAGCATAAAATTTTGTGCTCTGTTAATATCTTATAAATTAACCAAATCTTATGTAGATCGATTAGATTTTAGAATCGTTATTTTCAGATCACTTTTAATTTCAAAC